CTAACCCCTAACCCTAACCCTAACCCTAACCCTAACCTTCCAAGCAGCTTTTGCCTGAAGGGGAAGCAAGTGCCCCACCCTGTAAGAAAACCTCTTGCCCTACCCTCCAGGAGTTTCTACAGCCTGACACTCATGATNTAACCCTAACCCTAACCCTAACCCTAACTCTAACCCCTAACCCTAACCCTAACCCTAACCCTAACCTTCCAAGCAGCTTTTGCCTGAAGGGGAAGCAAGTGCCCCACCCTGTAAGAAAACCTCTTGCCCTACCCTCCAGGAGTTTCTACAGCCTGACACTCATGATGAGAATCAGGTTTATCAGCCTGCAGGCAGAGGCAGACCTCAGAGTGCTTTGAGTCTTTGCCTGATCTGCTTCTGGACCCGGCCTTGCAAAAGCAGACTTTGGTGTGCATCCTGGCCCTGTCCAAACACACTCAGCCCAGATACAGGGGACCTCAACCTGTGGGTTGTTGATAGCTCCAAACAGGGTGCTCAAGGCCACTCGTAAACAGCATCTGGCACCGGCCTGCATTAGAGACCCTCCAAAAGGTCAGCTTGTCCTAGCAGGGTAACCTAATGAACAGAAAGAAAAATAGGCAGCTATTATGGCAAGCTTCAGCTGCTAACTGACCTCGACAAGGAACCCTAACACAAAACTAGCCCAAACTTTCATCCTAACCCTGACCCTAACCCTGGCCTAAACACTAGCCCTAAATGTAACCTTACCCCAAGAGCTAACCCTAACCTAACCCTAAACCCTAGCCCTAACCCTAAACTGAGCCCTGCCCTAGCCCTAACCCTAAGCATAACCCTAGACTTCACCATAGCTCTAACCCTAACCCCTAGCCCTAGCCCTTAACCCTTTACCCCTAACCCTAAACCCTAACCCCTAACCCTAAGCATAACGCTAGACTTAACCCTAGCCCTAACCCTAATCCTAACCCTTAACCCTAACTCTTGTAGAGCTTGAGCTCCCATGATTTGGTTTCCTAGCAATTGTCACAAAGAAACAGCCCAACAAACAGAAGTAATTTCATTATCGCTGGGATCTCTCAGGTGAGGAAAAACAAAAGCAGGCTGAGGGCAGTCGCCCAGGAGGCCGCGGGGATCTGATAACGAAGAGCGGGGCGGGGAGGGGCGGGCGGGACCCTGGAGCAGAAAGAGGGCGTCGGTGGAAACCTGGCAAATCCAAATAGTCTGGACTTGGGTCAGTGGCGAGCACCACTGTCAGTCTCGCAGTTTTGACAAATGTGCTTTGTTGACGTGAGATGTACCGATGGTGGAAACCTAATTCTAAAGTGATTCAAAAACAGAAAGCCTTTGCAAAAAAATAGCTCATATTTTGAGTTCTAAAAAATTCATGATGGTATCTCAATACGGTGATAGTTACCACGGATAACAGTGTGACTTACCTCTTCTACTAGTTATCTGCCGCGGCATCGCTAGTCGACCCCCACTAAGCCGCTTAAAACGACCCGGCGCCACCGGAGCAGGTTCCGAGCAGCCTCCCTGCGGGGGCCGCCACGCTGCGGGCTGCGGCCAGGGCGGGACATCAAAGCCCAGCTCACCCTGCGGGGGGGCGCCTTTCGGGGCAGCTTCTTTTTTTTTAAAGCATCTTTACTGACTTCAGAGAGAGGAAAGGAGGGTGAGAGAGAAACATCAATGAGGAGAGTCACCGATCGGTGCCCAGCCCACAACCCGGGCACGTGCCCCAACCAAGAGTCAGCCCTGATCGCCCGGATCCCAGGTCGATGCCCAGCCGCTGAGCTACCGGGGCGGGGCCGCAGCAGTTTCGTGCTCACTGTGGGCTGAGCGGTCGGCCCCCCTCCAGGCTCCAGCCCGGGTCCCCGGCCCTCGCCACCGCAGCCGCTCAGGACGCCCTGTGCCACGACTACCGCCTGAAGCCGCCGCCGCCCTGTTAACTTAGGGCGTTGCCAGCTAGGGGCGGGAGGAGTGCCTCAGACCATCTGCCCGAACTTCCGGCCCTTGTGCGCAAGTGCGGAAGTGTGCTGGCCCCGAGTGTGACTGGTTTCCGGCCGCTGGTGCCGCGCCAGCTTCCCTGAGACGTGTAACGGGCGGTGGGCCGCAGCCATGGCTGAGAGGAAACCTAACGGCGGGGGCGCCGCCTCCACGTCCTCGTCGGGCACTAATTTACTCTTCTCATCCTCGGCCACGGAGTTCAGCTTCAACGTGCCCTTCATCCCCGTCACCCAGGCCGCCGCCGCCTCGGCCTCCTTGCTCCTGCCCGGAGGTAGTGAGGGGGTCCGGTGGGGCGGGGAG